CTTCGTCAGCTTGATTATTTTCATTGAAAGAAACAGCTACACCGTTGACAAGTCCTGATAGCTACTCTCGATAAATAATTTTTAATCATCCTTAAATGTACAGATCAGCATCTGTCATGTTTTGTTGTTTCATATCAAATCTTTTTTACTTTAGTCATACATAGATACTTTCCTTGTTAGTGTATGTCAATCCTTATCGTAATGATTTCATACTGTTCATCAAGTGAAATAAATATTATTATTGATGAATATGAAAATCACTACGCCACGGATTCTGTTATATAATAGTTTCAGAGAGACTTTCGATATACAACTGAATATTGGAACATTTTATTTTAATCAAGTCATAATCTCATTTTCAACATTTCTATCATTTATGACTTTCAATCCAGTCAAGAAATTTTGAAACTCTGGTGTAAACTGTAGGATATTCTTTCTGCGCACAATCATGGCCCCTGGACACGATTCCATACTGCACCCCATCAACGATTAGGGGTCCACCAGAATCACCCTGGAACAAAATCATTTCAAATCATCATCAAATGAAAAATAATAATTCTTTGCAAAAATTTCAAGAAGGCACGGATATGTTTTGATGCAGTGGAATGCATGCACAACCAAATGATCTTTCCATCTTTCGGAAAACAATCCACAGTTTCAACATGAACTATGACACATTACATACAGGGAGGGGAAAACAAAATTAAGTAATAGCTAACTTGTTTTCACCCCCTCGCCACCAGCCACCCCTCAAACGGCAACCCCCTACTTGTGATACCTTATCTGGAAGCCCTTAAGGGGCTTCATAACATAAAGTCGATGATTTCCGATAATTGAAAATCGAATTCCGTCAGAGTATCATTCCTCGAACTGAGCTGAAGCATACAACAAACAACAGGTTTGTCGTCGCCCCATCTGCCTGTGAACAAGGTAACCAACTGCAAATCCAAACAGCCCGCGAACGGTCTGCAATTGTATTGCCAACAGCATGTGCAGGAATAACTACACTGTCACCTACCGGATATAATCCAACGCCCTTCGTGGTATTAACCAGGGGAGTAGTTGTTTTTTGATAGGTGGCAGTCCATTAACCTACTGTGTAGGAAGTTGATACTGGCCTGAACGAATTGTTCTTAGATAATTTGATTTATAGCCAGTCTTCAAGTATGCCCACATATGTGAAAGAATTCATTAATTGTCTGTTTCTGTAGTTGTAATATCAAATTGTTATATTTTTTTCAAAATCTAACTATTTTGCCTGAATTGATAATTTGTCTAACCATTTATCTATCTAATTTATTGTATCATAATAGTTTTCACCAAAATTAACCATTTAGCTAATTCAGTTCTGTAATCACCTATCGTTATATGAAATATGTTGTGGTTGTATCAGTCAAACTGATGAAGCCCCCGTGTAGCGAAACTCATCTTGAAAATTCTATAATCATCATCATGGATAGTACAAAATCAATTGTTGTCCATTGTCAAATGAATGGAGATCGTATCCACAATGAGGAAAGTGATTATTGATAAGTAATACTACGAGTGATATTTGAATTATACTCACGTGACAAGCTCCCTTTTGTCCATTCCTATATCCAGCACAAAACTCAATGTCAGTGTCTACAAATATACCTATAGTTTTATTGTCGTAATCTTCCAAACACTCTGCATCATCAAAAACGCTTACGTCTAACTTTCGTAGATCATTTGTTATGCTCCCGTCCTGTGGAAAAACGATCGTCAATTCACATGTCACATTCTTCAAGAAACTATTATAAATTATATTCTCAACTGGGATTTTCACTTAATTTTGTTAGGTTTTCAAAAAAAGGTTCACGTGCTTGTTTTGACTGTATCCAGTATTGAAAAAGCCATCGAAAGTAACTTTTCCACTTTTATACAACGATTTACTTAGGAGGAAAATTCATAGCAAAACACTGCAAAAAAACGAGAACGTTTACTTCCACAACTATACGGGGTGCTTCCTAATTGTTATGAAGGAACTTTTGCAATGTTAGTTTCAATTATAAGAAATTCATCAATAGAGATATTCTAAAGTTCTTTGAGACTGAAGATGAACAGTTATCTGATGGTTGGTTCATTATATGAGTTCAGAAATTTCTAGGCTTTTCTATTCTCCGCGTTGGACCAATATAAAAGATGATACAAGAACAACAAGTTCTTGCACAGTAATGTATTCATCGTATGGCAATTCCTACACAGTAGTTATGAAATATCATAAATATCCTTACACTTATTTGGTTGGAATTTGCAACAGTTATTTGAAGTAATGAGGCGCTTATTTACGTCCAGCTAAAAATTTCGAGCGAAAAAAATGCCACTGACCTTTTTTGATGGTTTTTATTTTTAAATTAGGCAACTAAAAATATAACTTTTTTGTCCTTGTGTTTTCTTCATATCAAGCTTTATTTTCGGGAAAAAATACTTTCAAAAACTATCCATGGACAACAAAAAATGAAAACCAACAATTTCGACCTTAAAGTAAATGAGCAAAATGTCCACCTTCTGATAAAATAAACAACTGCAATCGATTCGTCATTGATTGTCTTACACGTTCAAAACTACCTGGAGGTTGACATTGCAGTTGTCAGTTATTCGATTCCTCAGGTCATTCACATCTAGTACAGGAGTTTCATGAACAAGAGTCTCAAAATGAGCCCGTAACTAGATTCATATCAGAACTGTGAGTAGGTCAATTTTGTGGTCCTGCTCGTCCAGTCCAGTGATTAGGGTAGGTGATCTCGAGATGCTGACGAGAAAGAACATTGAAACGAAGCCACATGTTGCCTCTCACAAGTACCGGCACTTCTAACAAAATGGGTGAATTATCTCGCAAAAAGTCCGTGTAGGATTCACCTGTTAATCTTGCTGATAGAAAAGTCGGGCCAAGCAGGTAGTCATCAATCATCACTACCCAAATGTTCAGCAGAATGTGTTGCTGACTTTGTGAAACGTCATTGTGAAAGTCGATGCTATCATCTTGGGAAAAACTTGCTTCGTCGGTAAATAATATTTGGTAAAAAATTATTATTGTGTGCCATCGTATGAATCAACCACTTGCAAAACATTATTTTTGGGTGAAAATCCCGAGGTAGTAGATCTTGGATCCGCTGTATGTAATATGGGTATAGTAGGTTTCTTTTTAGAACTGTCTCTACGGTTTATGACCTAACTGGTACCATTTGAACGATCTTCTATCGCATCAAGTATAACTTCTTCTAGTTCAGGCGTTGTTACAGTTTCTAGTCTTCCACCACCAGCATTTTTATCAAAAATCCCAGTTCTTAATGTTCCAGCACGTGGAATTACTCTGTTAAGATATCTGTCCTGGTGAATTATTTCGCATTTCCATCATATACTTATCCATAAAAAAGTGAATATCAGCCATTTCAGCGTTAGTAAAATCATTCATGATGAAATATCTGCTAATTGACAACTACGACTCTCACTGACATGACTAGACTTTCACTGACAGTTGGTTAGCTGGTTTATAAAGGTGTTCATGAAATGCAACAGTAGCTTCAATTTTTATAATTGAAAACGGAACTAGATATGAAGAAAATACAAGTGATGAAAAAGTTAAAATAAAAACTACAGCATCAAATGAGTGGCGTATTTTACCCAATTTTGTTGGCTTTGCTACCTACTGAAACTCCACTAAACCTAATAATTCCAATCTAGTTAGGGCTAAATACACAGTATCTTAGAAATGAAGCACCAACGAATTCATCAATGATCTTCATAAGAAAATAGAATTTCAAATCTTACTCCGCTATCGCCCCAACCAACCACAATGCCCGTTTTGTTGACTGGTGTACCATCACTAGCTTTGGGTAGCTGGACCGGTCGAGCAATTTCACTGAACGGAATGGGTGTTTCCAGCTGAAAAATATGAAAATATGATTTGAGTATGATATTCAAAAGCATCCTTGAAAGCAAACATGCAAAAATGTTTATGCTCAGAGTCTGACTCGCCCAAAATGTTGAAAGTATATCCTAGGACCATTACAGAAAAATATAAAAGACATTTGGAACAGTTGATATTCGGGCTTCTCATTATTAAGATGGCTGCCAACTTCAGCTGGTTCATTTGTCTGTGTATAAACTGCAGCATGAAACTTGCTTTTTAATTTTAGGGAAGGGTGGAAGGTTGATAGTCAACTACACTGGAAGTGATGACGAATTTGTTCAAGAGGCACTGGCTTTTGAATTCAAAAAAAATTGAGAATGCCACAAGAATATCGATGGAAAATCTTCCGAAAAGTGGTTTGAAAATATCTTACCGAAACTCAATAACAACTATATTGTTTTGAAAGGGTTATATTTTTAAGAGTGATTAATTTTTTGGGAAATTTTTTTTTGTATCAGATGGAGTAGTAGAAAGCCAAAAACTTCCTTTCCCAAAAAACTATATTGTTGTATTATATAATGCTTCGTATCATTCTAAAGTCTATCCAAATCCAAGATAGAGTAAAACAAAACAAAACCGAAGCGTGATGTTCACGTGATCGCCCAGTGTCAGATGGAAAGGGCAGCGTTCATTGGTGAACTCGCCTTTTTGGTACGAGTTCGGTACCAGCACAGGGTTGTAATCAGTCGTTTGGGTGTTTGTGTGGCGTGCGTTATAGTATATTGTTTAAAATTGTTTTCCAAGATGTCCAGTACAGACACTGCTGATGATACTGTGAGCTATCCTCTGAGTCCATCCAGGAAACGATCCAAAAAAAGACATTGGAGTGTTGAGATGAAATAAGTGATTTTAAATGTGTTCAAGAAAGAGATGGAAGAAATTGAGACATCGACTGTCGACGAAGTTAGATCGAAAGTTTCCGATAAAATTGGAGTGTGTTGCGCTTCGATTTACAACGATTCACGGGAATATAAACAAAATCATACATTTTCCAAACTGAATACAAATCAGAATCGTCAAACCATTATAAAATCAATAGATGATGCTGATAAACATGCAATCAGGAGGAAAGTGCATGAGTACTTTTTCAGAAATGAAATACCCACGATAGACAAGGTACTCACAGAAATAAATGAAGATGTTTTATTCCCAAGTTTTAAGCGGTCAACATTCCATAAAGTATTGAAACATTTCAATTTTGTATGGAAAAAACGAGGGCGCAATAGTTTATTATTGGATAGAGAGGAAATTGTGTTATGGAGGAGAGAGTATTAGACCAAAATTAAATATTATAGGGAACAACAGAGAACAATTCATTATATGGATGGAACCTGGGTTAATGCTGGCCATACTACCCCTAAATTATGGGTCGATGAACTGTGACCTCATGTAGGAGGGCCTTTCTAGATGGACTATCCACCGGATTAACAAATCCATCAGGTAAGCTCATATTTATACTAAGACCAGCTTCAATCTCAATATATAAAAAGTAACCCTCGTATTTGTTTTATTCACGTACATACCTCTTGATAATTTCAGGTAAAGGAAAACGGCTTATTATTTGTCACATCAGCAATGAGAATGGGTTTGTTGCTGAAGGGCTGTGGTGTTTCAAGTCGAAGAAAACTGAAGATTATCACGAAGAAATGAACGGTGAATCTCTAGAACAGTGGTTTTCCAAAGTTCTACCCCATCTGGAGGATAATGCTGTGATTGTAATGGACAATGCACCTTATCATTCGCGACGGTTAGAGAAGATTCCGACAACGTCTTCAAAGAAGGTTGAAATCCAAAATTGGCTGCGATCAAAGAATATTAGATACATAAAATAAAAATTATCAATAAAGAAATAATTACGTCTCTTTTCATATAATGCTTGAGTGCGCTGTGAAAAATCCAATGAAAATCTTTTTATATTACTCATTTCATCTGCATTTTTCCCGTTAAACTGCAAAACTTGTGCATTTCACTCGTTATTATAAAAAAAATTCCTAAGTATGATATAGCATTTGCGATCAACGAGATGTTGGTTCTGAATACGACCCTGGCCAATTCTTGGGATTTTCAATATCACGTGCGTAGGGCATGTCAATGTTTACATCCACTCTATCTTGAATTTGAATTTGCTATAGGAAGCCAGAAAAATGTCAGCTGCAGCATCAAGGTAATCTGATATTGAACAGTGACTGCATTCTAAATGTATTAAATTGAAGAGACATTACTGAAAGTATAGTTTTTTGCAATAGTTGATGAGCACAGAAAAATATGATAAATATTGATGGAATGGCTTGGGAATAAAATAAAATCGTTTTAAAGCTACAACCATATTACTGCAAACTTAATCCCATTGAGTTAATTTGGGCTGATATGAGAAATTTTATTAAGGAGCATAATACTACATTTAAATTTGCTGACATGAAAACATCTTCAATATTATAATTGCTACCAACACGTCAGATTAACGAAGAAAATAGTTCGATGCAGCAAAAAGTGGAGCAAAAAATGTGGAAATTAAACAATATTATCGAGCAACAAATTGTACAATTTGTGACAAATGTGAAGGATAGTGACACGTCTTCTGCTGAACTAGAATGGCAACTCGATATAAATATTTGTATTTTTTTTCACTTCGAAGAACAAAGTTGCTATTCTCGTATTTATTTTCAAAAACTTAATCATCAATTTTTAACCCAAGTAATTGAATAAATTCATAGCGACCAACACACACTTTCACATGTCATAGAATCTTCAAAACTGTTCAAAAATAATGTACCGCACTCAGTGGTATATACAACTTCATAAACATACTGATGAAAGTCTTGACAAACATTTTGATTTTTATTTTTGATTTTATACCAACAGATTATTCATGATATATGGTCTTTTGCGAATGATTTCTTTATATACCCTTTTGTTGAGCTGAAATAAAAATTTGTTTTGTTATGGAGCCCGTCATTCAAGTGGAGTAATTTTTATATTTTTAGGGTAGTTGTTATGCATATTTCTCAAAACACAAACAAATTCATGAAAAAAAACTAAAGACATTTTTCATTTCCTTATGGATTCTGCAGTGTTGTTTCCCTGCCGGTGATGCCATTCCTCTACCTACCTAGTTACTGAAGTCGGCTGTGGTCATTAAGATTCATTTCTTATTGTTTTTTCAAGGACAAAGAAAGTAGAATTCATTTAGAAAAACGTTCTCAGAAAGTTTATTCCACATAAACGCACTTCTCCATATGAAAGAGTTCTTAAACAGTGAAGTTCAAGGTGTACTGAGTTGAACCTCAAAACGATGAACAGCCACAGTCCGTCGCGTATTTCAAGTGTGCCGAGCATCGAAAGTTGCTGAAGTGTATCATTATTTTTCCTCACCTTCAATAAACCGATATCGTAGTGAAGGGGAGACATATCCTTAAACTTCTCGTGTCGAATATACTTGATTATATGAATTTTATCGCCCTTGTACATGTTTGAGTTTCCATATCGGATGTATGAGTCGTCTGTTATCACCCTGAAATATACAGAAGTATTAGAAATTGATTATCGAGGGGAGTCAGTTATCACGTTTCAAATACTGTTTTCAACCATATCCCTCTACCGCCCGTTTTTTTTCAAGGGAAGAAATATGAGAAAAAAGTGTTGATGCTGATTCGACCAGTTTAAAACCCTCTACCGCCCGTTTTTTTTTCAATGAAAGAAAAAATTCGAAACTATTTTTTTTTAATAAAAGATTTATTTCTTGANCTTTTTGGGACCTTTTCCCCTTTTCAATTGGTTTGATACATCATTGAGAGGCAAATCGTCTTCGTCAGCTTGATTATTTTCATCTTCAGCAGGAGAAATATAATGAGCTAGGGGGGTATCATCTTCAGAAGACCAATCATATTGATGGCCAGGGTCATCCAAAATATTTCCTATTGGAATATGTTCATCACTACTATCATCTAACATGGAGTCTTCAGAATTCTCAGCATTTCGTATAATTCTAGTTAGTATTTCTGGATAATTATCTTTTGCGTTTCTTCCATAAAAAGTGATAGGGTTCATTGCTGAAAATATCAATGTCAATTCATATTGGTCCACTGTGACTTTGAAGTAACATACCTGTTTCTGGGTAAATTCCTAACTATTCATCTTATATCAATGATTATTATAATGGTAAACTGATTTTGAGGCATCAACTTCTACCACACGTATTTTTATTACACCTTTCACACAGTAATTTACAGTAGTTTAGGCCATATAAACCTTCACTAATGAAGCAGCCATGATACAATTGTCAATGTGTCAAATCTCATCATTATTTCAATTAATATCTTATAGATGGCGGTAAAATATAGAAGTGAAATCGTCTATATGTTACTCTGGAGTAACAATGAGCTTTCATTGGACTTTGAGATGGAAATGAAGACAAATCATGATAAAATATAGTACGTTACTCTGAAGTAACACAGGGCCATAGAGGGATATTAGAGAAAATAAGTCGAGACATACAGTGACAATTGGAAAACTTACAATGGCTATATCTGAGCAACCAAATACAATGTAAGAAATCGCTGAGAAAAACTTCCATAATTGGGAGTGAGAAACGAAATGATGTAATAGTTAACTCGTTCCCACTTACCTCGTTGTCCAGTCATGTCAACTCTATATTCTTGAAGGGCAACCCCCTTCTTGTGATACCTCATCTAAAAGCTCTTCAATGGTACCCTACAATGCTGCATTCGATGTAGTAAGTTCTGGTTCATTGAATAAAACACTAATTATTTAAATTGAAATTTGATTTTTTCAATTAATAATTTGAAAAATGTATTTGAAAGAAATTTATTACATTCTCAACAGGATGGAAAAACTTCTCATTATGTAGTTTTAGTTACACAATGGTAAGATAATAATTATTTTCTTATTAGTCAGTGGGCTATGCTTGAAAACAGGCAGTAAACAAATCTAAAGAAATGAACATCAAATGTATTGGAAATTGCATATGCATGAAATTTTCTGTGAAGATTCCTGCACTGACGACTGCCACCGTTCGTGGTATTAGCCAGTGGAGTAGTTGTTTTCTGATAGGCGTCAGTCAATTCAACCTACTGTGTGGGTATATCCGAGACTGGCTTGAACATCTGAAGTTCATTTATTCAGACTGGATAATAAGTATGCTAATCAATGGATAAGAAGAATAGGTCCTATTCAATGGTTTCCTATATCTATGGACCAATCTCTTCCTGATTTTTTCCTATGGGACAACCTCAAATCTGTTGTTTTTAAGAAGCAACCTGACTCAATACAGCAATTGAAGGCAAGTATAATCCAAGAATGCCAAGCTATTTCCAGAGAAACATTTGCCAATGTACGTCAAGAGTTTGGAAATAGACTCTATTGTTGTCTTGAAGAAGATGGAAATCAATTTGAACATTTTCTAAATCAATAAAGAATTTTTTTTTAATGAATCAAAAACTACTACATCGAATGTAGCTTTGTAAGATACCTAACTTTGGGAAGCATTTTGAGGAGCTTTCATATTAGGTATCCCAAGTAGGAGGTTGTCATTCAAGGCTATAAAGTAGGGGTAGCTGGGGACGAGAGGGTAAGTGAAAACAAGTCAGCTATCATATCTTTATTTTCCCCCTCCCTATTATGGAAGTTATTTTCAGTGGTTTCATAGATTTAATTTGGTTGCTCAGACACAGCCAATATAAGATTCAATAAGATGCAATAAAACTCCAAAGTTACTTTATGTTTACTGCAAAGTTGATGCCAGTATGGAAAAAATTAAAATTGGTTGAAAATGTTCCTTTTTCCTGACGCACACGCAGTTGTTTTTTTGAGGCCGATTATATTCTTTTTTTTTCTGCTGCGTGTAGGCTAACTCATATCGAGTTTGGTAGATGTATAATTCAAACCACTTACCTATAGAGACAGTGTCCCGCTGTCAATATAGTATATTCATCAAGAATCGAACCACCACAAGCAAAACCATCCCAGTCATATACTTCTACCTGAAATATAATTCAATGAAACATGTGGCTGGGCCTATTTTTAAAAGTCAAGCGACTTTTTATCTGAAAATTTGTATTTACAAGAAGTTGACCGACTCATATAGAACCCCCTGTATTTGGTGGTTTCAACTTCTTTTCCAATACTAATGTGACTCAATGCAGACTCATCTGTACGGAGGCTATTCGAAAAATGAGGAGAATGTTCAAATTTTGAGGGCACGTACATTCGACTAGAGATTTTTAATTTTCTCATGTTGGTATAGTCGTCTCGAACGTATGTCCACATCTTTAGTTATTTAGCATATTCAGTTTGTTGGTGAGAGGCATAAAATTCAAAAGTGTTTCGCGAATTTCTGCTATCGAAAAAAAAGAATCAGAGAATTTATATGAAATCTTGTGTCAAAAATTAAATTAAGTGCTCAAAACACTTGCAATATTATACGGTGATTGTAATCTGAGTCAGAAACATGTTTACAAGTGGTACAAGCTTTTCATAGAAGATCGAGGAGATGTCAATGAGTCAATAACTGATGAAAATGTTGGGAAAGTGAAGAAAATTGTTATGGAGAATCGTCGAACCACTATTAGAGAAGTTGCTAAGGATGTCAGCATATCAATTGGCTCATGCCATGCAATTTTATTGAAAATTTTGGGCATGAAGCGTGTGGCAGCAAAGATAGAAATTGATGAATAAATGAATATTTTTTTAAGAAAAATTAAAACTCACCTAATTTTTTGAACAGACAGCGTATCTAAGATGTACAACTTTTGAGATAATTAGTGGATGAGAATAGAATTGTCAAATTTTTCACAGCTTCTTTTATTCCTGCATTCGTAAAATTTCATATATTCAAGAAAAACAGGCCGTTTTCTCTAGCTAATCTAACTATTGCTATTTCGGAAACGATGAGATTTATGAAATGGCTGGAATTGGAAGAAAGTTTTCAGGAACTAGAATACCTAATATCTTTCATTTTTGAAATTTTCGTCGAAAACTAGCACTGTCGAATCTTGTTTTTTATCTCAAAAGCCTCCATTTTGAATGATATAGAGAAAAGTCAGGAGAACTCCCAAAATTGTTATGATCTGATATAAACCAATTTGCAATGTGACGTTCCGTTCATTGGATTTCATTAACAACTTCACCAGATCAAATACGGATCGCTAGTTTTCTTATTTAATCAATTTTTTTTAGCCGCTGATATAAAAACAAACTCAGTTATGAATTGGAGGAGTTATATTTTTACGAGTGATTAATTTTTTGGAAAGAAAGTTTTTAGCTTTCTCCTACTCCATCTTGATACAAAAAAGGGGATGAGGGAATCTTCCAAACATTAGTATATACCAGTGAGGGTGACAGTGTTCCATGTAAGTGCAATTTATTACCATTCATTCAAAGTAGAACTCATGTGAATGATATCTGATTTTCATTCCACAACGAATGTTTGAAATACAAACTGAGTAGAGAAAAGTATCATCTGTATAATTCAGTGTTCATCTAGAAGTATTGGTTTCGAAAGAATTTTTTTCTTTCGTTTAATTCAATGTTTATATGAAAGTAGCTGTTTCAGGAGAAGTTTCTTTCAGTTTTTGTCTGAAAGTTACTTCTTTGCATTATCTACACATCCATGTATAGAGTTACTTATTTTCAACTTGATTACTTCCTTCCTTTCTTTGGAAGATTCTCTCATCCTTTTTTTGTATCAGAAACCCAAAAACTCAGTTATGTATTGCAGTACATGTGTTATATTGAAAAAATAAAGTTTATGATGAAATCTAATGAATGAAACGTCGTATTGCAAAATGGTTCATATCAGATTATCAGTATATCAGCTGTATTGAAAATTCTTCCTTTTTTATATCATTCGAAATGGGGCAGTAGAGCCACAAAATGAAATTCGATAATTCCAGTTCTTGTCAAATATTTGAAAAAATAATTGATATACTCGATCTGAAAATAGCTATTTATGGTACCAGTGTCAAATGTTTTATTTTGTGAGTGAAAAAGTTTTCGAAACGAGCGTAGTGAGTTGAGCAATTTTACAATCAAAATAAAACTCACTTTTAACACAAGTTACACATACAAAGTTTTTTGTACAAAGTTTTTTGTTGCTAATCTTTGTCTACTGCGAATAAGTATGTGTTTATATAAATCACGGGATGTTTCAACACTCTTTGTAAATTGACGTACTACCCATGTATATTGTGCATCTCGTAGTCAATAAAGCATTTCTTTTTTTCTTTCTATATACGCGTATTTAGGTATATGAATGTGTATATGTGTCTACGGTACAAAAGAGTGGTCCTTTATCACATACCTCCTAGTAATTGTATTCAATATGTGGAGAATCAATGATATTCACTTATACCAAATTGTTTTTATGTATTATTCATTGATATTAATATTCGTCTCTTTATATAACCTATTTCTTAAAATTTGCATTTGATTGCGTTATATGTATGTATGTCATTATATTGCACTTGTATTTTATTTTTCAACCACACACAGGGTTTTAAACCCTCAGTGGATTTTAAATTTATTCGTCGCTAATTTTAAGATGTAAACCCTATTTTGTATGCAA